CAAAAACCCCAAAGAAAAGACAAAACCGCGAAAAACTCAAACCATTTATGAAACATCTACGAATACATCAGATGAGATATTTATAAACTTACTGACAACAAAGATAATACCGATATGTCGACAGAATTATTACTCAATCCTAAGTTTATGAAATTAGCTCAGAATATATGTAAACACTGTATTTTAGGAATAAATTGAATCATAATTCAGTGATGTTGATTCTTTATACAAACCTAACTGTGTTACATTCAAAATCGCCAGGATAGTAATAAAGTAGCTGGTAAAATATGTCATGTTTGAGTCGTAGTCAAATCTATATAGGACGCATTTCCCACAATTCAGTTCGTAATGACCGTGTCTTATCTTTCTTATCGTCAAAAGTGACAATAATCAGTATTGTTATATTACGAGTTAGTAAGATCTATCTATCTATCTTCCCAGTGGCGGTGCCGTTGGGGCGCTACAGATGACCTGTCGACCAGCCCTCTCCATCCCTCCCTGTCTTCCGCACGTTTGACCGCCTCGCTCAGCTTCAATCCTGTCCATTCTGTGATATTGTCTTCCCATCTCTTCTTCTGTCTTCGTCTCTTTCTTCCTCCTCCGACTGTTCCCTGGAGTATTGTCTTGGCAAGCCTCTCTCCTCTTGTTACGCGGCCGAACCATTTTAGTTTGCGCCCCTTGGTTGTGGTGGGAAGATCTTCATAGGGATCAATGGCTTGCCTTATTCTGTTTTTGACTTCCTCATTGGTTATGTGGTCTTGTAGGAGATGCCAAGCAGTCTTCTGAAGCATCTCATTTCTGAGGCCTGAATCCTCTTCTCTAATTCTACTGTCAGGGTCCATGTTTCACAAACATACAGGAAAACTGAGTGGACAAGGGAACCACTGAGTCTTATCTTTGAGCTGAGCTTGATTGCCTTGTCCTTCCAGATGACGTTCGACTTAGCCAGTGTTGCAGCTATCATTGCAACTCTGGCTGGTACTTCAGGCTTGGACCCCTCATCTGAAACTATTGCTCCAAGGTATTGGAATTTCTTCACGGTTTCAAGCTTTTCTCCGTTGGCAGTGATATCAGTCTGGATTCCATGGTCACTATTTGTCATCAGTTTTGTTTTGTCTGCACTGATTTCCATGCCGTAAGCTGTAGGGGATCTGTCTAGTTGCCTGACCAGGTTCTCCAGTTCTTGTTCTGAGCGTCCGAGACCGTCAATATCGTCAGCAAAACGCAGGTTTGTGAATGGCCTGCCACCGATGCTGACTGTTCCTTGGTGGTCTTCAAGTGCATATGTCATAATTCTCTCAAGGAAAACATTGAAGAGTGTCCCGCTGTGGTTCGGAACCAGTCTCCAATGTCCCCGTTGAGGTAAACGGCACTGCTGGTTTTGTCGTATAGGTTCTGTATGACGCGAATGGTGTTAGCATTGATGTTGCAATAGTTCATGGTCGCCCAGAGTGCCGCATGTCACACTCTGTCGAATGACTTCTTGAAGTCTACAAATACGTGGTAGAGTTCTTGGTGTTGAAAGTATTTCTCACACAGAATCCTGAGGTTGAAGATCTGCTCATTTGTGTTGTGTCCTGCCCTGAATCCTGCCTGTTCTTCAGCTATAATTTCTTCAACCTTGGGTCTTAGCCTATTCAATATGATCCTGAGCATCACTTTGCTAGGATGACTTATCAGGCTGATGGTGCTGTAGTTATTGCACTGTTGTAGGTTGCCTTTCTTGGGTAGGATGAACATTAAAGACTGGGTCCATTGTGTTGGTCACTCTCCTGTGCCCAAGATCTTCTGGCAGGTTGCATGTAGCACATCGATCATGGCCTCATCCCCTGCATGAACTGGGATGTTATCAATGCCTGCTGATTTTCCTTTCTTCAGGGACTTCACTGCTTCCTCCACTTCTTCTCTGAGGATGGGGAAGCTGTCTGTGTCTGTTGTCAGGGGGGTGTTGAGCTTCTCTACGTTAGTAAGATATGTAACTTTAAATGGCAGCCTATTGTTTTTATTATATGTTGTAAATCTCCATATATTGTTATCACTTTTGTGACGTCAGGAGATTGCAAACAGTAAACAGCTCATTTCAACTCCATAAAAAGCGTTATCCAAACAATGAGTTTAGCTTAATCAAACAAATGTATTGTCCTTATATATCTCCTCATGGCTACTGGGTGTATAAAGTTTGGAAATATACCATGCTAATTCGGAAAATCAAAACAGAATTTTTGTTCGTAACCCCAATAACGACACGTTTCTGACAAACGTCATGAAACCGATATTGCAATGGTTCTTGATAGTGTTTGTCGTGTTACACGATAATTATCAACATTAGTACAACGGATTGTGTTAACCTCGATATTACTGCCTGCGTCGGTCATTATCACCGAGAGGTAACTACCTATACGCTTTTAGTCAATGTATGACGTTTAGTGTCGTGTCAGTACAACATTGACATCATATTATTTTTTTTTGTCTTGTATATCCGTGCGTTGAGAAACGTAACATCAACATGTCGATAAAGGGACATCACAATATTTTATATTAGAATGTTGAGAAACTCAGACGAATTGAGTTGAACCATTGTGACTTTTGGACGATTTCTTTTGTTTAGAATCACTTGCCTTTGCCTATATGGATGGAAAATCACAATGGGATCCTAATGCAGCAAATGACGTCCTTGGCATCACAAACGAGGACAAAACAACTACATGATACTGTTTAATATGTATTTGGCTATTGTGTATCTATTTCTATATTTCCGTTGAACGATGTTAGTCTTCTATAATTTTACATTTTCTAAACCTTTTCTCGGCTGTTTTACAACACGAAACTCGTAATTGAAATAAAAATGCTTATTTAATGAAAGTTATATTTTTGCTAGGTTTGGATAATACTCTCCGTTCAGATTTACATGTTGTGATAGAAAATATGGGTTTAACTCCATATAACAGTTAGTGACAAAGATAATATGTTATTTCCCTCAGAAACAAGAGTTCATCCTGGCTTTTTGTATATCATTCTACGTTAATGGCGGGGTACAGTTACAATGTTAACGTATTTGTTTTTTACACGTAAAACACAAAAGAAATTGGTCAGCAGACAACGCCAGAGCACTTATTTCTTTCATCAATAAAATCGTAAATTTCTTTTTAAATAATCATATATGTGCAATGTGACACTTACTTGCATTAATATGATCTATTTGAGCAATCCATAATGAGTAAGATTATTCTTCAAATCAATGATATATATATGTATGATACTTAGTCCGTAAGTCATGGCCGTACTTTTCTAGCCTCAGATCGATAACAAATCATGTAACGAAGATCATTGATAGTTTATAAATGGACGGTATGGTCAATAAAACGCTTCATGCTTTTACTCTTAACAACAACTCATACAAAGTCTTTGTTTTCTGACTACACGCCAGTTTCAATAGTGACAAATCAAACAAAAAAGAAACCCCAGAACAAGTACAAGGAGCAAAAGACCAGGTGTTCCGGAAGAGAATGCAACTTCTGTTTCATCGACGACACCCGCCATGTATATCTTAGTCAGTCCAAGTAAATTATATCACGTTCTCAAATGAGAACAAGGTACAACAGCGGAAGCAACAGACAAACTAAAGAGTAGCAAACACACCCAGCTTCACATACATATAAAATATTTTTCAATAAATGAGATATGGCGACCACCTTTAAATTTTATCAACCTGCATCTTTTGAAATCCTGTGCTACGAGTTTGTCCCACAGTTGACGATTTCTTATACGAAAATCATAATAATAGGAATATATCCTTGAATGAATCAACTGTTACATTTAAATACTATAGACTGTGGATGCAAGGAGATTGCTTACCAAACATGGAAAATCCCTATAAGGGAAATTGCAATCATCGCGCCTATCATACAGCTTGGTGGAAATCTGTTAGTTTCGTTGTAGGAAAAGATCGAGATAAGATTAGATAGATTAAACTGATGAAAACAACTATCTCTAAAGGAGAAATGTTGCTGATTAATTTAGTCTCAACGCGTTGTCATTATATTAGGTTAAACATGGAATTGATCAGGCACAAAAAGATGCACGGCTAAACGCAAGAAAATAAAAATAAGCTTATTCTGGAAATGCATTTTTGATATCTCAGTGGTTTATTTTTTATTATTTATTTTTTTATTTTGTTTTTCGGGGTTTTTTTATTATTATTTATTTTTTTTGTTTTTTTTTTTTTTTTTTTTTTTATTTTTTTTTTATTTTATTTTTTTTTTTATTATTATTGTTTTTGTGAACTGCAGAGTTCTAGAGGTCACCCTGTTAAGTGGTTTTCAGGATTTAATTACGAATATCTGTTCTGGTTCTGTAATCGGATGTTATTCATCCTTTGTACCTGGTATCGCAATTATCTATAATTAACCTTTGACTTTGGAAACTTATTGACTACTCATGACACTGGTATATACGGCATTTGCGGACGAAATTGAATGGATACAGAGGTACAAACCAGATATTCCATCTGATCACAAACGAAAAATTTCGAACCGAAAGGTATCTGCAGCTGTTGCATGGAAACATGGACATGGTTTCCATCATTTACGGTTGAAAACATCATTAAATGCCTTCCTGTTAATAACTTACCGCTTATCTCGATCTTTTCCTACAACGAAACCAAGGCAACAGGCAATGTTTTTCTAATGCTAACTACCATTATTCTCTGTAACTAAAATCTTTACGCCAAGCATAAATTACATACACATGTATATGGTACATGATCTAACTTAACATACACGATTAATTTATAAAATGTCGTCTTTGTTCAGGATTTCCTAACGGTAATGAAACCTTGTATATAATCCTATTATTATCGCGGTTGCCTTGGCTACCAATGCAAAATTTGAATCCTGTTGGTAAGTAGGAGATAATTGGGACGTTAATTATGTTGCGATACGCGCAATATTCAGTCTAGGTGCGGGCACTGACAAGACCGTTGTCACAAGTCAGCGGCCATCATGGTATTGGGCAAGTTTAAGGTATGTTTTCCTCGTTTATTCTTATAATTCAAGTAAATATGACAAATGCCATACATATTTATTTTCGCGGGGACTATAGTTTCGCTATTTCATGCACTTTAACTTGATCGCGAAGTCTTCATTCTTGAAATTATTAGACAATTAGACGTAATTGATGATTTTGTTAGATTTAGCGAGCAAGTATCAAAACTTCGATGAGGGTTTCATAAACAAAAATCCATTTATCGAATATTTCATAAGATATATAACTTATATTGTCTCTATTACTTTTTTCTATATCAATGAACGAAATATCGCCTTTCTGTCAAATGTATAATAAGATTTTAAATGAGATTTCATCTTACATACCATTTTATCAAACGAATCTCAAAAGTGTTTTTAAGCCTTGCCGAGACGATATTACTTAAAGTTACATTTCCGCATGTTTTAAAGTAAAAATGTGGAGGACTAATTCAAACGTATGCAGCCATTTTGGAACGCGATTTTCAATATATGACGAAATGTCATTGTCCATATTATGACATTACAAGCTATATCTGACTGGTGCAGCAAATGAAAAATACTCCAGGATGTAATACACAAGTCACATACAAACAAAAATATTACTTTGGCGAATTCACTGAATAATAGGCCACTTATGTGATTGACAAAGATATCTCAAATATGTTTAGATTTACAAATAAGTCTCTAACATTCAATGCCACGAAGTTTTGTATAAGATATATCCTTCAGGAACGATATTTAAACTTATGGAGATATCCTACATTGGATATGATTTGTCAGACAGATGTATTAAGAATGAGAAATCTTGTATATGATATCTAAGATATTTTATGTACAATATTGAAGCTATATAGTATCAATAAGGTAGATTCTATTAGAATATTATAGATTGTATAAACGTATTTTTAAAATCTCATCGAAGCTTCAAGTATTTCATATACTATACAGGTATAAGATATATTTAATAGAAAGAGTAGCGGTGTCAGTTTGTCAACATTTTAAAAAAAATGCAGACAATTTTAGTCCTAGTTTAACAGGGATGTTTTGTCATTGTTGGATTTTTACAGTCAATATCATGTTCGTCTGGTCAAAACTAGAACACATAAATCATTATCTGTCTCATTATGACGAATAACTTATCAAACACAAGGTACAAAACTAAATATATGTTCTTATATAAAAACAAATTGAAAAAATATATCTAAGACATTTCAACATAATTATAATCCAAACTCAAATTCGATAAAAAAAACCCCGGAGAATCCTGAAAAAGTAAAAGGAGTATAAGACCAGGTGTTCGAAAAGAGCAAGCGTCTTCTGCTTCACCGACGACATCCGCCATGTAAACCTTGGGCCATCCAATTAAGTAAGGACAAGTTCTGAAATCAGAGCAAGGTATACAACAACGAAAAAACAGGCACGGTCACTTACCTTAAATCCCAAATGTAATCATCGTTTGACAATCTACGAGATAAAACAAACCTGAGAAAATAACCAGTTGGTAATTAGGTAAAGATAAAATTAGAGCACATTAGTGAGTTCCGGATAAATGCGGTTAGGCTTGATGTAGATTGATACCAAGGGGTTTCATCATTCTGATTAACTTATTTTCAGACATCTTCAACTGTGGACAAGGTTTCATCTCTTTTGTCATTCAGCAGCTCCGATGTACATATCCACAACAAAGATACGGGTAGGTACAAAACATGTTGTAATGCTGTTCATCAACTTTCTTGAAACGTTATTAATCTCGTACTAAATAACGTCTTCAATTACCGGTAGATTGGAATATGGAATGTCTTCTTATTTCAAACACCGGTAAAATCTCAAAAAAAGCGCAAAACCACCTTTAACATCATCAATTTGTACAGCATCAATTTTTTCTCTTATTTCAAATGGAGCTTTTTCGTCGGGAATAAAGAAAGACCGGCATCCTTGGCGAGATGCATATTTCGATTCAAGCAATTTATAAACCCTTTCTTGATTTATGATTAAGGGTTTTTCGCCCTATTCGAAGTAGCAAAGTTGAAATGTTATAACAGTAAACTCACCGTTGATATGGATATTATGACTTTTTAGAATTTCTAATTTTTGACTATGAAAGAAAATGTAATTGAAAATGCTTTTCGACTTTAAAGATTAAATAAGTAGTTAGCTATTGTACTATTGTGCAATTGGGATAAGATTTGGTGTATTAGGTTTTTGGTTAGTGTGCTTATCTGAGTCCGTTACCTCATCAACTTTTTTTTAATTTTGTAGGGATCTGCCGGCAAGGCATTCTTACTGATGCTGGGAAAAGATTGCAACTCGCCAGAATGCTTTGTCTCACCATTTTCCCCATCATATTGCTGTGGGGCTTCACCGTGTTTACTCTCACAGAATCAATCAATGAGAAATCAACTGCTGAGGAGGTAAGATTATTATACCAAATATTTGTCTTTATATTGTGTGTGCTTTGTGTGTTTTATTTTGCAAGTCTAAATTATGATATATTGTTCTTCGCGTCTTTGGGAATTGGTAGTGTGTATTTCAAGCCTCTCTAGTCTGCCACGTTGGTGTAAGTATACACCTACTAACTATGGAACTCAGCCCAGAAGTCAGATTTGATTCAAGGTGCGGTTGATTAGTTGATTCAGATATCTATATCTTCATTTGACTTGTTTTATTTGGATAGTTAACGTTAAGTTGAAGCAGATTATCAATCAAATCGAAGCAATGAACAAAACTGTTTTCTGATCGCAAGAAACAGTTGAGTAAAAATGTTGGGAAGATATATCTTCATTTGCTTTAAACACTTTGCTTAAAATATATGTTCGTGAGTCTTTATTATCGTGCCCCACCCCTCCCCCCACGAAAAAAGATGAAAATTAAAACAAAATAACTTTTTCCTGGTGCTTGATTTTCTGGATGATATAGCTCAATAAAACTACTCACGAAATCAACTAAAATGATCCCCCGCGAAAATTAAACTTTTAGAAGCATCACTGACGAGTCCAAAAAAGGGCAATACTGTGTAGCATTATGCAGTTTAGATAATTAATTTGCCCAGTTCCTTGGGACAGTATTGATTAAGTGGTATTACAATTTTGCTTGAAAATAATAAATGTATGTCCATTTTGTAGAACATGTTCCAGTTGCTGTTTACGAAAGAACTAGGTCAGTTAATTCATCACCTACAGCGAGAGCGAGATATGAGCGTCCTGTACCTCAGCGCTCTAGGACCGGAAACGAGGACATTTTTATTAGATGAATACATTGAAACAGACGACGCACTTACTGCCCTGACGACATGGCCAAGCGACGCGACGCGATCGGGGTGGCAAGACGAAGAGTTTACTTCACGCGAGACGTTACTTGCTCATCTATCGCGTCATAGACAGTTTGTGAATAAGAACCAATATGATATTTACGTAGAAATTGACTTTTACAATAATATCATTGATACCATGTTGTTCTGGTTTATGCGTACCGTCATTAGTGGTACATTTGCTACTGTCTGGAGAGATCTGATAGCTTACACCAAAATCACTATTGGAAAGCAAGACGTTGGCGTAGAAAGGGCTTTAGGAACATATTTCTTTGTGAAAGGCGGTTTTAACAGTCAGGACGCGTTTGAATTGTACAATCGACGAGTACACAAATTTCGAGCCTTTTACTATACAGCACACATGTATTCCAATATGGTAGACAACATGTACAAAGAGGGTTTCTTCAGCGCTTCCTACAATGTTACAGAAACAGTCAACTCGTACAGATATGAGATACAAAACTCTGAAGAATACAGCCAAAGTGCAAATGTCGTGAAAGCACAGAAATGGTTTGATAACATGACCGTCTATATGGACGCACTTCTCGGAATACAAGTTAAACTTGGTCAAAATATCATAACTAAGATCGATGCGAAAATTATGGCGATCACGGAGACCATGGTGATAAGCATCGTGTGTTTAGTAATCGTCCTTTTCATTTGTCCATGTGTTGTAGTATCGACGGAGGCTCTGACTAGTAGTATTCAAAACTATGCTATCATACTCGTTCACAAGACAAAAGAACTTACCAAAGAGAAGAAAAGAACAGATTCACTCCTTTACCAGATGGTACCCAAGCCAATCGCAGACAAACTGAAGAAAAATGTACATATTGATGCAGAATACTTTAAGTGTGCTACGGTATTTTTCATCGATATCTTTGATTTTAATCAACTTGTGATGGAAAGTTCACCGATAGAAATAGTGGATTTGTTGAATGCCGTCTACAAGAATATTGATGAACGCCTTGATAATTTCGATGTGTACAAAGTGGAAACAATCAATGATTGTTACATGGTTTCTTCAGGTAAATAATTACTAGTTATTGTCACGGGTGATACTTTTGGATTTTTTTTTTTTTTTTTTTTTTTTTTTTGGGGGGGGGGGTGTATTTTTTTGGGATATAAGAAACTCGCTGAAATTCATATCTTGGAAATAAAACTGATTTAGAAATTTATTGTACATTTTATTAATACGATATTTTTTATTTTTTCTCAAAGCCTTTCGTAAAACTGTAAAATAGTTAGCAATCGACGAAAGAAACAGCATTTGCAGTTACTATTCATACTAATTCTATTCACGCACGTGGTGATAGTTACAGTTTTACAGTATTTATCAGTGAATAATTATTGGTTTAAGTGTTGAACAGATTATACCAGATAAAATACTGAATTATATATTTTTTTAATCTATAATTACGAGACTCGTAGTCAAAAATAGGTAAAGTAAGAAAAACAAAATTGTCAATTTTAGACCACCGTCAAAGGTTAAAAATCGGTCAACTGGAACAGAAAAGGCCACATTGTAATAAATCAGAACTAGTCATGATTCAATGTATTAAATACAACATGTATATATCTTGTTCAACTTTCATCTAGGATTACCAAAACGGAATCGGGATCGCCACGTTGTCGAAATAGCTAATCTTGCCTTGGTCCTGCGAGCCATGATTCTAGCCAAGCCGTTCGTGCTTTCGGGTGAAAGAGTTATCAAACTGCGCTTCGGAATTAATACTGGTATGTACCGTCTGTCCAGCCGTTACTTAGGGGACAAATTTACTGTAAAATCATTTATTTTCGTTGAGAATTTGTTTTGAATGTGTGTAATTTTAATCCATGCAATCCATATGCCTAGGAACTGATGAAATAACTAAAAGGAGATATTGAGATGTATGTAGCCATGAAATCAAGCCTCAATGAAATTGTAAATTATTTATTTTCAAACCACGAAAATTAAGCCCACGAAAACATATGGTTTTACAGTATCCGTCTTCTGGTAAAATTGTTTGGTTCAGTTTAAAACAATGCTTTATTTGATACACAAACAGTATTTTTAATATTACATCTAAACGGGAAAACAAGACCTACACAAGTAAATATCAAATATAATAAATAACACAGGAGTTATGGACGCATTGCTGACGAATGAAATGAAAGTAATACTGTCACGTGTCTTTATTGTGTGATACTTTTTCTATGGTATTGATATAGTAAATATTCTGATTTCATAATTTATCAGATTGTTCATGTTATTCAAGCTAATTTATTATGTGACATATTAAAATTTAATACTGATGCTTTTGGACGATGTTACTCTGATTTTTATCAAATCTATTCATTTACATTGTTTTCGATGTACACTTTAAAACAGGATATTATTTCAATAATTTGCATAAAGTTACATCTCGGTTAAACTTCGGTAACAAGTGGACTTTACAACGAGACAGCAAACAAGGATATTGAATTGGTTAGTGGCACGGTTCAGAATATGCACATGTACCTGACTTTATTTTATCTGATATATGGAAATTAATAAATCTGTTTGATTATGGGGCTAGTGCACCTTCACATCTAGATTTTGAAATTCCTTTCGATCACTTAAGATTTTCCTCAGTCGCCGTCTAGGTTTTTTAAGTCTTTCTTTCACGTCACTGAGGAAACCTAGAAGGACGAAACAGGTGTATGAAGCAGTTTCATTTGTTTCAATCTCGTGTATCTACCTTTAAATTTGTGTTCAAAGGTGATATTCACCTGCGTGCATTTTGTATAATCATTCTACATTAACGGAATCGATTTGAATGTTATTTACTTTATTTACTTATTTACTGGTATTGTCACTTGTGTAGTAGGTAACCTTTAAAAAGCCTTTGGAAGACTCCAGGCTGTAAGAGAACTGACATTCACACATATCATTTAGATTCAAGAGCTAATGGAAATATTATACTGCTGAACGAATATCAATGATTGCAGCTCAAATGAAACCCAGAAGTTTTTTTTTCTATTGAAGGACCATGTATGGCAGGTGTAGTCGGCCTGTTAATGCCGAGATATTGTCTATTTGGTGACACCATCAACACAGCATCCAGAATGAAGTCATGCGGAAAACGTATGTATACACAGTATATTATAATAAATAGACAAATAACTGTTTTTCTATATAAGTAACAGTACATCTAGATCACCTTGGAAGAACTCATTGCAATAAAAATTTAAGGTTATTTTAAGGTCGTTTCTTCAATAACTCTTAACTTAGCCAGTGCCCAATTTAATCTAATTTAGCCAAACAAAATTTATGTTTTATGTTCAAGAAATTTAGACCATCATAACTCATGAAAAAAAATATTGCAGCTCGAATACTGCATATTTCATGAAATCACTTATTGGAAAAGAAATTGATTTATCAAAGACTTTCTGAAATGTCGAAATTTTCATATCAGTAAAGGAATGATAAATAAGCTGTGAATAAGTCTGTCTTTTTTATTGAGAGTGGAACATAATAGAGATAACTAACATCATTACCTGCCCAATCTCTACTTTAAATTTTCGGAAAATGAAATCGATCTTAAACTCCATATTTGTCATGTATTGTCACGTCAATTGTCAATTTACAAAGAGTAATAAAATGTTTCAGTATTTTAGAAGAAAAAACAGAAACTGATATTAATAATGACCATGACATAGTTCTTTATGTTGTAGAATATCTTTATAAATTACGAATTTTGATACTGGGCTGGTGTACAAAACTGGCATATACATAGGGGATAGAGATATGTATTGGTGGACCGTTTGTTATCTCTTTGGTGTAGTACTGATATAGATATATATATATATAACACGATCACATAACATAATATATCCACTAATTGATATGTAGCAAAATAACATCCCATCTGCTGACGTTATTTAACTCAATCAGATGAATATGTCACTGTGTGTATCTACAGCCAATAAGATCCAGGTGAGCCACTCCACCTATTCCCGGCTGATGAAGTTTGGTTACTACATACTGAAACAAAGAGGTAGTATCTATGTAAAGGTGAGTACTACGATATAAGTTTACATACTAACTGGTCGAGGAAATACTGAGATAGTAATAAAACCATGACTTGACTGTAAATTACAATCAGCACTCGATAATCCGGACTCCTTCGTTTCTGGTCAAAAGAATCCGGATTAATGGATACAATTAATAATACGGAATCCATTCCCCAACATTTCCGTTCCGATTATCGTGGGTCCACTTTGTGTTTAAGGTTTTCCATGTATTAACTAATTCAATAATTAATTATTTTTGGTATTCTATAACGTCTGTTCCGTACATAGAGTGTGCAAGTAATATTCATACATGAATTTTTTTTATCATCTTTGCGATATGAATCTGGAGAAGTTTAATGTCATATGTTTTGACAAATCCCTCGGCTTTGAAAATTATTCTATACTCATTTGCATCTAAGGTCCACATATATCAATATTTCTCGTTTACGACGGAAATGAGGCCATCGAAAACAATATAATTGTTTCAATCACAATATGTGGAACCAATTGTAATGATTTTGGGGACTCGTGCTTTTCTGTCGGACTCTCTCAAATTCTGAGACCCCTGTGTAACTCTTTATAACTGGACTTTTAAAAATTTGGAAATAATTCTCTGGACTCACAAGAAATTGATTTTTTTACAAAAATTACTCAAACTGTTGTGGACGCTACCAATAGCTGGCACTGTTGGTTGACTGTGGTGGTCCCTGAAATTCGCCGTATTGTATATGATATGTTTTATTCCTCTGAACAGCAGCACGATTCATAGCACGCTCCAGTACATTTGAAATCATCCCCCGGTCGCCAATTTAAGTCCTCATAATCATTGATGAGTTCTATAAGGACGAAATGACTGTTTGATCCATTTCAATTATTTGGCTTACTGCATTTGATTCTAAACTTTTAACTTGAGTGATTGATGTTTTAGGGGAAAGGAGAGATGCAGACCTACTGGTTGCTAGGTAAACAAAGTGACAGTTGCAGAGCTATGAGCATGGCAAACGACTCCTTCGATGACATTGATGAGGACGTGACTGAAAACCGCTTGCCAGGAGAACTGACACAGTACAATGATGCTCATTTGTCATCTGCTCTGACAGTTCCACTACCAGGTCGGGTTTACTCCAATAGACATGTCAAAAGGAAAGGCATGAAGGTCTCGCCGCAGATTAAAGCCACACAGCAGGACGAAATGGAGGATGAAAGATCGAAGTTTCAATCGAATGTCCCGGATGATCATTTGGATGATGAAACGGAGACTGAAAGAAGTCCCTCAGTTGCAGAGAAACCTTTAGCTAATGAGGAGGGGACTCTGATGGAATATAACCAAGAACGAGTATCGATGGACGCCGTAGAATTTGATAACGAAGCTGTAAATGTCCATACAGTGAACCTGAAACCGTCAGAAGAAGCATTGGTGTCCGAGGCCGTCAGCTCAGAACCACAGTAACAGACGATAACGAAACTAAAACCAAATGTTGTCAACATGACGTAATCGGTGTATTTTATGGTCTTGTCCAAGACTGTATAAGTAACAAGTAACTAATGTCTTATCAAGATATTGGCTTATTTGGCCTCGTTTTAAAAATAAATCCATGGTATTATGTCTGGTCGAATGAGACAGCGAGTTTCTACAGGAAATCTTATCAATCTTTTGAAGTTTTCCTACATTATAGTAAAATCCTATCTATGACAATCTCATAATTTAGGAAGGAAATTAATTAACATCTTTAGACCACTTGATAAGCATGAGACTCGTTCTCGATCGCCAATGACTAATTAATCATTTATTACACTATAATAGTTTAACCATAACTTTGACATATAATATGCCAATGGATTATTTGATCTGTACCTTTCCTCTTTGGTTTTAATCATTACTGTAAAATAACCTTTCCTAACCATTACTGTTTGGTCAGAAGTCCTAATCATTGTTGTTTGGTCATAAGTTCTAACCATTACTGTTTTTGTTATAAGTTCTAATCATTACTGTTTGCTGATAAGTCCTAATCATGACTGTCCCTTCCTAGTTTGTCCTAACCTTCTGTCCGCGGTATAAAGTATAACCTTTTCATTTAATGGTTCAGCATGCATCCTAACTTACCTGGTCATACATCCTTAATATTTCTGTTGGGTCATAATTTTTTGTAAACGACACAACTGTATTATTCTAGCCTTTACTGTTTGGACATATATCATACACATTACTGCTTGGTCATGTATTCTAGCATGTCTCTTTGGACGTATATCCAAAACTTGTTTGTTTTAGTCACACATATTAAAATTAACCATTTCTGTTAAGTAACAATAACCAAACCATTAATTAGTTACGCATCATTATCATTAATATTTAGTTAACAATCTCAGCCATTACTGTTTAATTACACATCATAACTATTGTCAACAATACAGTTTGGTTATACATCTAAACCATTGCAGTTGGTTACACATTCTAACCAGTGCTGTTGGTTTCTAACCATTGCTGTTGGTTACACATTCTAACCATTGCTGTTGGTTACACATTCTAACTATTTCTGTTGGTTACACATTCTAACTATTTCTGTTGGTTACACATTCTAACCATCGCTGTTGGTTACACATTCTAACCATTTCTGTTGGTTACACATTCTAACCATTGCTGTTGGTTACACATTCTAACCATTACTGTTGGTTACACATTCTAACCATCGCTGTTGGTTACACATTCTAACCATCGCTGTTGGTTACACATTCTAACCATTCCTGTTGGTTACACATTCTAACCATCGCTGTTGGTTACACATTCTAACCATTACTGTTGGTTACACATTCTAACCATCGCTGTTGGTTACACATTCTAACCATTACTGTTGGTTACACATTCTAACCATTGCTGTTGGTTACACATTCTAACCATTGCTGTTGGTTACACATTCTAACCATCGCTGTTGGTTACACATTCTAACCATTTCTGTTGGTTACACATTCTAACCATCGCTGTTGGTTACACATTCTAACCATTCCTGTTGGTTACACATTCTAACCATTTCTGTTGGTTACACATTCTAACCATTGCTGTTGGTTACACATTCTAACCATTGCTGTTGGTTACACATTCTAACCATCGCTGTTGGTTACACATTCTAACTATTGCTGTTGGTTACACATTCTAACCATTACTGTTGGTTACAAATTCTAACCATTGCTGTTGGTTACACATTCTAACCATTGCTGTTGGTTACACATTCTAACCATTGCTGTTGGTTACACATTCTAACCATTGCTGTTGGTTACACATTCTAACCATTGCTGTTGGTTACACATTCTAACCATTGCTGTTGGTTACACATTCTAACCATTGCTGTTGGTTACACATTCTAACCATTGCTGTTGGTTACACATTCTAACCATTGCTGTTGGTTACACATTCTAACCATCGCTGTTGGTTACACATTCTAACCATTGCTGTTGGTTACACATTCTAACCATTGCTGTTGGTTACACATTCTAACCATTGCTGTTGGTTACACATTTTAACCGTTGCTGTTGGTTACTAGACTACTACTCTTTGTAATCGCATCTCAACCATTTCGGTTATACATGACAGAATTTCTGTTTGGTCAACCATCGTAATTACTTCACTTTGGTTAAACATCCTTACAATTTTTATTTCGTTACATATCCGAATCTGTTTGGTTACACATCACAACTTTTACCACTTGGATAAACATTCCAACCATTTCTGTTTTATTACAAATTCTTACTATTTCTGATTTGATTATTTCAGTTTAATTGCACACTCTAACCATTGCTGCTTTTTGTTCACAAATCTGAACCATTACGGTTCGTCAAACACCTTAACCATCTCCGTTAAGTTACATGTCTTGACCGTTAAATTTTCGTTTCACATCCTCGCCCTTTCAGTTTGGTTACACATCCTTACCATTTCCGTTTTGTTACACATATTTACCATTTCTATTTTGAAATTGATCCTTACTCTTTCTGTTTAGTTACACATCCTAACCATTTCTGTTTAGTTACACATCCTAACCATTTCGTCTTAGTTATGCATCTTAACCATTTCTGTTTAGTTACACATCCTAACCATTTCTGTTTAGTTATGCATCCTAACCATTTCTGTTTACTTACAAATCCTAACCATTTCTGTTTAGTTACACATCATTACCATTTCTGTTTAGTTACACATCCTAACCATTTCTGTTCAGTTACACATCCTAACCATTTCTGTTTAGTTATGCATCCCATTTCTGTTTAACCATTTTTCTGTTTGTTTACAAATCCTACCTATTTCTGTTTAGTTACACATCCTAAACATTTCTGTTTAATTAAATATCCTAACCATTTCTGTTTAGTTACACATCCTTAACTATTCTGTTTTGTTACACATCCTTATCATTTCTGTTTAGTTACACATCCTTAACTATTCTGTTTTGTTACACATCCTAACTATTTCTGTTTAGTTAGACATCGTAACCATTTCTATTTACTTAGAAGTCCTAACCATTTCTGTTTAGTTACACATCCTAACCATTTCTGTTTAGTTACATATCCTTTTTAGTTACACATCCTAACCATTTCTGTTTGGTTACACATCCTAACCATTTCTGTTTAGTTACACATCATTACCATTTCTGTTTAGTTACACATCCTAACCATTTCTGTTCAGTTACACATCCTAACCATTTCTGTTTAGTTATGCATCCTAACTATTTCTGTTCAATTACACATCCTAACCATTTCTGCTTAGTTACACATCCATAGCTATTTCTTATTAATTACACATCCTAACCATTTCTGTTTAGTTACACATTCAAACCATTTCTGTTCAGTTACACATCCTAACCATTTCTGTTTAGTTACACATCCTAACCATTTCTGTTTAGTTACGCATCCTAACCATTTCTGTTTAGTTACACATCCTAACCATTTCTGTTTAGTTACACATCCTTGCCATTTCTGTTTAGTTACACATCCTAACCATTTCTGTTTAGTTACGCATCCTAACCATTTCTGTTTAGTTACACATCCTAACCATTTCTGTTTAGTTACACATCCTAACCATTTCTGTTTAGTTACATATATTTAACTAGTTTGTTTAGTTACACATCCTAACCATTTCTGTTTAGTTACACATCCAAACCATTTCTGTTCAGTTACACATCCTAACCATTTCTGTTTAGTTACGCATCCTAACCATTTCTGTTTAGTTACACATCCTAACCATTTCTGTTTAGTTACACATCCTTACCATTTCTATTAAGTTACACATCCTAACCATTTCTGTTTAGTTTCACATCCGAACCATTTCTGTTTCGTTATACATCCTAACCATTTCTGTTTAGTTACACATCCTTAACTATTCTGTTTAGTTACACATACTTAACTATTTTGTTAAGTTACACATTCATTACTATTTCTGTTTAGTTACACATCCTAACCATTTCTGTTTAGTTACACATCCTAACCATTTCTGATTCGTTATGCATCCTAACCATTTCTGTTTAGTAACACATCCTAACCATTGATGTTTAGTTACGCATCCTAACCATTTCTGTTTAGTTACACATCCTAACCATTCCTATTTACTTACAAGTCCTAACCATTTCTGTTTAGTTACACATTTCTGTTTAGTTACACATCCTTAACTATTCTGTTTTGTTACACATCCTTATCATTTCTGTTTAGTTACATATCCTAAATTATTCTGTTTAGTTACACATCCTAACCATTTATGTTTAGTTACGCATCCTAACCATTTCTGTTGAGTTACCATTTCTGTTTAGTTAGTTTCTGTTTAGTTATACATCCTAACCATTTCTGTTTAGTTACACATCCTAACCATTTCTGTTTAGTTACGCATCCTAACCATTTCTGTTTAGTTACGCATCCATAACCATTTCTGTTTAGTTACGCATCCTAACCATTTCTGTTTAGTTACACATCCTTGCCATTTCTGTTCAGTTACACATCCTAACCATTTCTGTTTAGTAATACATTCTAACCATTTCTGTTTAGTTACACATCCTAACCATTTCTGTTTAGTTACTCATCCTAACCATTTCTGTTTAGCCATTTCCATTTCTGTTTAGTTACACATTTCTCTTTAGTTACACATTCATTACCATTTCTGTTTAGTTACACATCCTAACCATTTCTGTTTAGTTACACATCCTAACCATTTCTGTTTAGTTACACATCCTAACCATTTCTGTTTAGTTACATATCCTTAACTATTCTGTTTAGTTACACATCCTAACCATTTCTGTTTAGTTATACATCCTAACCATTTCTGTTTAGTTACACATCCTAACCATTTCTGTTTAGTTACACATCCTAACCATTTCTGTTTAGTTACATTTCTGTTTAGTTATACATCCTAACCATTTCTGTTTAGTTACACATCCTAACCATTTCTGTTTAGTTATACATCCTAACCATTTCTGTTTAGTT